AGGAGCATAATGAGTCTATGTGCAGAGTACACATGGGTGCACTGATTTTCCTCTTACAGACATTATTGCCATATACAAGATTTCTCAACAAACACACACATGCACTCCATCTATATGAACCATCAAAATGGTGGACATGCTTACTCGGACAAATTCAATTGAGGCCTGCAGAAAAGTGAAACAATCCCTGCTTCTGATTATATTCTTCAAATATGACGTTATATTCAGGACCCACAGTCTTGGTCCAACAACATCCAAGGTTTACATTTCCATTATAGCCAAGAAACACAAGTTCTAGCAATACATTTTTATCTGCCACAAAATTTGCTCACTAGAGTTATCCTCACACCATGCTCATAACTCATGCAGTTGTTGTTAATATGGTGCCCAAATCCAACCCTGAGCCTTCATTGGCATGAAACACAAACTAAATTAGTTCAGGGGAATAGAATTTAATGCTATTTTTTCAAAAGGAGTCCATAAAAGGCTGAGACTGAAGAAGAATCTGAGACCCAATGGCTCTCCATTACTGAAAAACACAGTCATCCATTCAGTCAAGTTCCCACTGACTCTTTTCAGGGGAAAAGAGTAATTACTCATAGGAATATATATCAGTTGTGTAATGCAAACTAACTCTTTCCTTTAGGCTGGAATTCTGTGCAAAAGCAGACCAGCACTAGATACAATGAGATACTTCCTAGTAAATGTGCATATTATTAGACTAACAATTGTAACTTCCTTTCAAGGTCTTCCCCTATTTAGTGGTATAGAAATAAAATGAATAAAATGTTGATGCCATTTCTGTTTTTTGCACTGATTTGCAATGAAATTACTCTGAGTTTTACCAATACTTTGTTCCCGTAAAGTCTACACAGGTGTGATCAACTACATAACTACTTGCATGAGCCCAAGAAAGGCTTGGAACAGGCCTCTTGAACAGCAGCCCCACCTCCCACCATGCTGCAGCTTGGACAGCTTCACTGGCAGTTCATGATATGGGATGGAGGTCTGTCAGGGGCATTGCTAGGGTTCGGTCTGTGAAGCCCTAGCTCCCAAATTATTTCCTAGTAGTGCAAATCAAGTCCTGGATGTTCACTGGTGCCAATAAAAAGATAGGGCTTTTTTTGGAAAGGGTCTTTGATGTTGCACAATGCCCTTTTCATCTGTAAAATTAAATTGTTGTCAACTTCCTTTGTCTCACATGACACCCCTTCTCCCTCTGTATCACAGCTTCTTTCTAATCCATGTTTATCCAGTTTTGCATTTACCCATCTAAATATTAATACCCTCTTCTTACCCACTGGTTCTCTCAGTTTCCTACCAGGAAATGACTGGGACCTAAATTTGCACTGCTAAAATATCAATCAGTTGTATGTCACTGTAGCCCAATGGAAATAGGGGATCAGGATTTCAAACCCAACTTAAACACAAAATGAGTTTGGCTTTTAACATACTACATGTTTTCTTCTTGAAAAACTACTGGTCTTAATGTATTTTTGTAATCATAATTCTTGGACAGAAAATTAATATTTTACTGTCCAAATTCCATTTTGTTTGTACAGAAAACAATGTTTAATATTTGAATACACATATTTCAGTTGCATAATTGGCATGGAATAATTGTGTTAAAAATTGGAAATTTAAAAAAAAAACCTTTCAAAAGGGGTTAAATGAACCTTAAGTTAAAAATTACCCCAAATCCACCCTAAATAAAACCTAAGGCTACAATCCTACCCACACTTACCGGGGAACAAGCCATCAAACTCAGACTTACTTCTGAGGAGACCTGCACAGAATTGTATTGTGAATTTCATAACTTCAGGCAGTATTCATGTTGCTAAAGTCATCCAATATTGTTGCACTATTATGTTGCCTCTGAACTTTCCCCGGGCTAGTGGAAATGAACGCTTGGCTATCAGATGCCATTCAGCAAACTTCTTTACCCTAAACACATCACTACATACATACACCATCTCAATAAGCTGAAAACGGAGAAATAGTGTCATCCAACTATTTTCAGTCGCCGTTCTGATCAGTGTAATCGGCAATGCTGAAGCTTGCTATGAGGATACCAAATGCAAGAGGCAGAATGGCCACCTACCCGAACGGTCCCTGCCTTTCCATCAGCCATAATCCAAACTACAGAAAGTGACAAGCAGAGACCAGGAGCTCTGTGACAGCAAGAGTGTGACCACACTACGGAGGACTCGGGTCCTGTGGAAGGTGGGAGAAGGGGCCCAAATGCTCGCATCCCCGACGACTGGGGCAGGTGACACAAAGCTAGAAGAAATCCCATCGGCACGTAGGCAGCTGCCAGCCCCCGGATCGACGGGCACCCGTTCCCCAGGCAGGAGTTCTTCCAGCCCTTCTCGGAGATGCCGAGGGTCCAGGCTGGGACCTTTCAGCACGCAAAGCAGAGGCTCCCCGCAGAGCCGGCCGCCTTCCCTCCCACCCCCGTCCCCGCTTGCTTCTGTCGCCGATAGCGGAGCACCCACGACGCCTCTCAGGTCCCCCGGTCTCCGCGCCCTTCTCCTTTTCAACCCTGAACCGACTGGAGCGGACTCAGCTTCCAGGGCTGGGCGGCAGAGCAAACTCCTGCCAGCTGTCCCCGGATCTGGCGCCTGGAAGCCCCTCTCCCAGCCGCCGCCTTCCGCGGCACAGGATGGCTGGAACGAGCATTACCTATCCAGTGCCGCTGCGCGCCTGGCGCTCCGAGCACAGCACGCTGCGCGTCTCTTCGAGGAGGAAAAGAAAAGGCTAACTCTAAGATGGAAGCGGCGCCGACCCGCTCCTGGCCGGCTGTGCTCGGAAGAGGCCAGCTCTCAGCGGTCCGGGGGTGGGAGAGGAGGTGGCCCCGCCGCCTCCCGCCGCTCCATAGCACCTGCCCCCGGCAACTCCCGCCGCTCGGTCCTGCGCACTGGAGCTCTCCAAACCGCTCGGAAGCGCCCGAAGGGCCGGCCAGCTGGCCTGGCGACACCCCCGGCGGCCCAGGGGCGGCGGCGGGAGGCTGCTCCCTGGCGGGCCAGCGTACCTTCAACGTGAAGCACGCCTCGCCCTGCCTCCTCTCCCCCGTCGCCGCCGGCGCTGCTCCGCGGGTCCCGGACTGGAGTGGTGCGGCTTGCCCTCCTGCTACTGCCGTCCGCTTCTTCCCCTGCGCGGGAAGCATCCCCGCCGCCCGCGCGCCGAGCCCCGACGGCGCCCGGGAGCGCCTTCCCACTCGAGCGCGGGAAAAGGCTGCTGCGGTGCCACCGACAAGGTGCGGCGCGCGGCTGCCTCCGGGAGACCAGAGCCCATCCTGGCTCGGCTCGGCAATCCTCGTTTACCTCGCTGGAGCTGCTGCGGATTGTCATCCGTCAGCGCCCCCTGCTGGCTCGGCTCGTGAGGCGCGGCTCTGGCCCTTGCAGCCCTATGAGGAAAGTCACCAGCGGACGCAGGAAACGTGTTTTATTATCCTTGGAAAGAATGGTCGGGCCGGCCTGAGCTAGAGGGGCGTTCGGGCATACGGCTCAAAGATACCGGGCGAAGTGGCCTGGGGAGAGGAGACGAACAGGGCTGCTCTTTATGGCTTCCGAATGTAAATAAGCAGGCCAGAGTTTGGAAGCTCGGACTTACAAGAAGTTTCAAGCATCGTTGTCCGGTTTCTTTATAGCTCCTAAGCCTTTCAAGTGTGATTTCTGTTGCTTTGCAATACTCTGACGGACTTGCTGCTGCTTAATGTAACACGGACCTCGAACAACAGGTATTAAGAGTCAGAGATCACGAGCTCTCAACCAGTCCTCGGCTGTCTTAGAGCAACTAAGCATTTGGCACTTAGGGGTTTTGCAGGATATAGTTAATGGGTATTTGTATGAACACGCTTCTAGGGCTGCCTTTAACCCTCACTGTAAACAGACACCTATTGATAATATTAGCTATGGTGTCCCTCTTTGCACATGCAAAGCTACCTTCCCTTCTACCAGCAGATGAAAGGATGTGTCAGACCTCCAGGACCATAGAAGCATGATCCTTCTCCCTTCTAATTTTGAGACAAGGACTCATCCATATGTACCTTATCATACTAACCAGTATTAACTAATACTCATGTCTTGGTCATGACTCATGATTAATTGGGCTTATAAGAATGAAGTGCCAGTGCTGGAAAATCCAGGCTTGCTCTGTAATTAATACTTTTTAGTACTTATTTAATGGGCAAAATTAGTGTACCTACTTAAATTATGGAGGAACACTCAGAAGAACCCTCTTCACTTCTCTAGGCTCACTGCTAGGAGCTTGGGGACACAGCAGTGCGATTCTTTTCATGGCATCTGAGGAATGAGGGGGTAGGAACCATCTGAATGTGGAATCCAAGCTCTGAAATCAAGGTCTTTTCCGATCTCAAGGCTGTGATTCTAGAGGACCACAGGATGGCTCAGCCCATTAATCTGATACATTTAAATATTTTATTTTAAAACTGCATATAATTAATTAGGAAACATATTTTAACTAAACGTAATAATGTTTAATTACAAAAATTACCTTCTTGCAAGAAACATCTCTCCAGTTTGCTTCTTCTAAGATGCTTCCTGTTATATACCTTTGGTATATCGTCTAAAAACAATGAAATAATGCTCTCCCCTTATTAACGTCTGTTTCTTGCATATGCAAAGATATGCACAGATATGAATCCCGAGTAATTAACCTAATCACGCAATCTAAATATGAGCTTCTGAAAGCCATAGCATCTGCCTACAGAAACTTAAGGCTACAGTCTTATGCATAAGCCCCAGTGAAATCAACGGCACCTATTATTTGATTTCACATGGACAGGATTGCCCTGTACGTGTGTACGGATAAACGGGGAAAGCCACGCTGCGCATTCCAGGAGGAGCTTTCCTACGTGGAAAACTCCAGGGTTTCAGCCTTGGTACTGAATCAGGACTCCTGGGGCTGAGCCGCGACGTCAAGCCAAAGGGAGCCGTTCAGCCGGCAGAGGGAGCTGCAGAAGGCGACTCCGTCCCGCCCTCGGCTGGGAGAAGGTGGAGCTGCTCAGCTAAGCTGGGCCGCCGCCGCCGCGAGTGGAGACGCTGCAGCTGCCGCCGCAACTCCCGGGGCCATGGAGGAGCCGTTTCACCCCCATAACGACGAGGTAGCTGAGTTTCCATTCCCTCCCCGCTTAGGAGCGAGCAGGCAAGCGGCGCTGCCCAGGATTCCCTTCGTGTTCCCTCCCCTCTTTCCTGCCACCCGGCGGGCAGGAAGGAGCGCTCTCCGCACTTTCCCGAAGGCTCAGCCCAGTCCGGGAGGGTGGATGTCATGAGCCCGCGTGCTTCAGCTCACTGGATGATTTCACCGGGCCCGCAGTCGCCCCGCCAGCAGCGGCGTGGTTTCTTTCCACCCGTGCGCTGCCCGTGCACAGCGGAGGCCGCGTTTGCCACATATCTCGTCCGCAAAGCATCTTCCCGGCAGCGAGTACCTTCGAGAAGTGTTGGACTGCAACTCCCAGCATCCCCCAGTCAACTCTGGGGCGGGGTGCGGTGGCTGTTGCAGGGCCTCTGGACGCGCTGACTCACGTTCAGACAGGCGCCCGCATTGATGAACTGTCAGGGCGCGGGTTTGTGGAGGATTCGGGCTGCCAGTCTCCACTGGCGATGCTTAACTCGAGAGCGAGAGGGTTCGTGCGCCCCGAGCTGCTGTCCTTTTATTCCTTATAAACGTTACGAGAATAGCAAAGACATTGTCGTTGAACGCTTCCCATTGTGGCGACCGCAAGCTGTATTTGGGCATCGGGACAGAATGTTCCTATGCAAGAAAAAGAAAACACCAGTGCTTGAGAATCAAGTGCTAAGGCTGTTAGGAAGTGGCAGTGGTAATTTTTCTGCGTGCCCATGCGAAAAAATTGCATGTGCGAATATTCCCCTACAGGTAGAACCTTCCCTGCAGATCGAGATGATGCCAAAGAGAAGGCTTCAGCCTATCTTTTTCTTGGTATACAGGTGTGGGCCGAAAGAGACATTACTTTAAACCTGTGCCTGTGGCTAAAAGCAAGCAAGCAAACAAAAGCATTAAACATTTAAAAAAACATTTTTATTTTAGAGAAAGTACAGGAGCTACAATTTGTATATTAAAAGCTCTCTTTTCCTTTGTGCAAGGATCCAGATTGCACATGGCTGGACCTGATGACCTGGCATCTCCTAAATCTACTATTCTGATTCTAGTCCATAGTAAAAATACGACATTAACTGCTAGACAGGAAAATTCTTGTCTCTGTTCTTTAGTGTATGCATGTTCTCTTTAAACCGGCAGTATTCAGACATGCAAGTCCTCTCCACCCATACTCAACTGCAATCTAGGTGGAAAGACTAACTACTTGATTTTGTATAATCTGGACCTAGTTTCTATTTTTAAAATGCCCGACTTCATATTCTAGTACCTGGAAGCACTGTCTACTGCAACCTCTCACAGGAAAACACATCCTTGTATTCCGCCTGTCCACATGGATTTTGGTCACATTTGGAGTGAGCACCTGAGAAGCAAATATTGACAAACACTAGTCGTACCACAGATAGAAGTATCCTCATTAGGATAATATGATTTGGTTGATTGAATGTAGGTCACAGCCAAGTGTGATTTTCCAAATGCAGTTCTTCAGAATGTCAGAAACAATGGATTAAAAGTAGTTAATGATGAATTTGGGAGATTTAAAAAGTAATTTGTTTTTAGTAAGAGAGACAAGCTCTCACCTACTCTCTGGGCTCAGAAAAGTGACCTTGGAGGGGGTGTAGAGGGGGCAGGGGAAAGGAGACTAGAACAGCCAGGTTGCAAAGTATCCTGAAGCTACTCCAGCCTACTTCCTTCACCCTCCAATACGCTTTAGCTAGAAAAGCAAAAAAGCCCATTTGGCAAAAATCCAGAGTGGAAGGATGGGCAGCTGAGAATTGCCCTCTCCTCTTCTCCTGCTCTTTCTTGGGAGTCCAAGTTCAGAGGCTTATGGGTATTTGAATCGTAGCATGCCCTTGGAATCCAGTTTTCTGAATGGCATTATCAAAGTAAATAAGTAAATAAAATTTATATTATTATTACAGATGACCTTCAATGCTGAAGAAGCCCACAATATTATTAAAGATGTAAGTTATACATTTAAGTGTATTTATGTGCCAAATGCATTCTGAGGCAAGCATTATATTTTCTGTTTCCATACTAAAAGTAGGAATGACTGGTATTGCTGAAAGACTATGTGTGATCCTATGCATATTTGTCAGGGAATAAGTCTTACTGGATTCACTGGAGCTTTCTTCTGAGTCAACAGGCATAGGACTGAACTAATAGGCAACAGCCTATGCATATTTATTTATTTATTTATTTATTCACTTCATTTCCATACCACCCCACAGTTGAAGCTCTCTGGGTGGTTTACACAGTCCATAAAAAGAGGTGATGAAAATACAATAAAATATTATAAAATCAGGAAAATATTAAGATGTTTAAGCAGCTAAAAACAGATAATAAAGACAGACAATAAAGAGAGAGAGAGAGAGACCCCTGGTGATACCCCGCAGGTCTCTGGGTGGCCAAGTAAGTAATTAAAAGCTACAGACAAGAGGGCCTTCTGAGCAGGCATGCACAGACTGCACTACAAACCAACCTGTTTGTACTGAATATTGGATAACAAAGATTTTTTGTTAACATTTTCAGTTGCTTGGATCCTTATTGTATTTGAGATAGCCCTGCTTGCAGGTGGTGATTGTTGTCGATCTCCCTTTCCACCCGCAGCCCCCTGCATGCTCCAAAAATCTACCTCAGGGAGTAGAGGTACCCTTTAGAGCCACATGGGGCATGGCGCTGGGGTTTACAGGAAAAAGGTGACTCTGTCCAAGCTGGGAGGTCAACCAGTGGGAGGCTGTGCTGGGTCAAAGCACCATTCATCAGAGAAAGGCAGCTCAGGCTCTAAGCACTGACACGGCTGCAGTGCTAAGCAGTGGTGGGTGTTGCCCTGCGCTCTGCTCAGGATGTTTGTAACAGAGGCTGAGGTTGCAGTCTGGCGCAGTTCAGCTGCTTAAGCTGTGTCAAAGCCACTAAATAGGATTTGTACCTGCATTTCTATTTTTTTAAATCAATTTTTATACCATTCCTGTTAGCCTAACAGGTCTCTGGGTTGTTTACATGGTTAAAATATAACAGTAACTCAACATAACAACAAAAGCAAAAGCAAATTACAATTATCTATAAAAGATATTCAACAATAAAATAAAAGTAAAATATCAAACTAGTAAGAATAGATCCATAAAAACAATTAAATAATCCACAGTGCTATACTAAAATACAAAATAGCAATAAAATGTTCCACAGCTAAAATTTTGGGAGAATAAAAAGAGTTTAGTCTGGTGTCTAAAATTATAAAGGGTTGGTGGCAGGTGCAGCTCTCTGGGGAGCTGCTTCCACAGATTCTAGTGATGTGGCCCTGCTGTCTTTTGTGCATAGGGCTGTGGCGATCATTACACTGGCTTTTCCCCAGCGTAGTAACTGCCCAGCATTCAAGGACAACAGGGTCACTTGATCTGAACTTCACTTTAGTATCAAAATCGTGAGCAGCATACTCAATACTGTGAGGCATGTCAGGACACAAATTCAGATTATTTCCCATTTTTCTCCTGTCATTGTTTGCATCAATATTTGCTATGTAACTTTTACAATTTAGAGGGGAGAATATTGAATTCACAATTATGAATTATGTTTCCCAGTTTAGGAGCTCCAAGCTAGGAAAAGAGACAATGAGAATTGTGCATTGCTGTGCAAACCATTGTTAGACTGAATTAAAAGTGTTATATGTATACTTCTATCAATGTATTTGATAGATACATGTGTTTATTCAGTCCTTAAAACATGTTTTATTTTTCAGTGCATTGAAGGTGTTCTGGGCAAGGCAGATTACAGTCATGAACATGTCAACCAGTGGACTGCAGCTATAGTGGAGCAATCTTTAACACATCTGGTAAAACTAGGGAAAACCTACAAATATATTGGTAAGAGTCCGTTTGAACATGCAGTTCTGTGTTTGATTCAATCAAAGTATAATTAATTGATGGGAGAAATTAATTCCAGGACTAGTTTTGTGCTGTAGAATGAGGTACTGTAAAAGTAACAGACAGGGTTCCATACACTGTCCCCTTTATACTAAAATCAGGATTGTCCTGCTTTTGGACTGATTTTTAGGATTACAACTCCCATGATCACCAGCTGTGCTGTTTGGTACTGATGGTTGTTCTGTTCCCTCTAGTGGAGGGTGCCATGTTGTCTACACCTGTGTTAGAGCACTGAAGACACCTCTGCTTTGACCTTTACGGATTTTTACTATAATAAAATGGGATTCAGTGAATCAAACGCTGTGCTCAAATCCAGGAGGCTGGAGCTCAAATCTCAGGATCTGTAAAAATAATATGTTTACAGATAAATTAAGGTAAAATTAAGGAGATTTGCTTCTAAGTGATGGCTGTAGGATTAGGGTGTTAAACTCATTTAAATTTTAAGGGAACAGTTATGTACTAAGTAGACTCAAAGACAGCAGACAGAGAACAGGAGAAACGGCATACTTCAGTTCCAAAGGATGTCACTGATCCTGTTTGGCTGGTATTATGCCACTGGAGAAAAGAATAGTTTCCAGCCAATATGGGTGGAAGTTCAGGGCAGTGGTAAGCTCATGGAAAGCTAAACTTTATTGCCTGTTGCTTACAGAGAAACAGAATTACAGAGCAATTCTTTCAAACACTGATGCAAAGTAAGTATTCCAAGGTTCAGTAGGGCTCACTCCCAGATAAGAATCTATAGGAGTGCATCCTTAGTCAACACTGTGGACAACTGGTTTGCCACCATTTGCCACCAGTGTGGACTGCTGGCCTAGATGGACCTTTGGCCTGATCCAGCATGGTTTTTCTTGCATTCTTTTGTGTACTTTAAGAGCAGCAACTTCAATAGTGAACCTTCATCCAGTCTCCTGCTTAGTTGCTATATTTCCCAGGTAAAATACAGCTGAGATTATTTTGAAAGGAACACTGCCCAAAAAATATTTTTACCCAGAAGCTATTGGCCACCCTAACCAGAAAACACCGCTGATTGTCCACATAAGATTAACCAGACAGCGCTCTCTGAAAGACTCAATGTAACCCTAGACTCTCAGGATTGCATAGATAAATATGCCACCTTCTTTAAGAAGGAAAAATGAATTTCGTTGACTTGCATATTCTTGGACAAAGGAGAAGAAAACATAAAGTTTGTAACTTGTGTGTTATAGCATGATTCAGCAGGATTACTTTTTGGGAAAATGTAGGGTTCACATAGGGTGATTGTGCCTTTTCTTTTTCTCCAGCTACCACCCAGTCCTTTCAGTTCTCTTACACCTTAATTAAGAATGCTTATAGGTTGAATGACATAGTTGCCTTGTGCTTTAGTAATGAGCACTGGATTTTTTTTTCTATCCTTCAGTAACTTGTGCAGTGATGCAGAAGTGTGGAGCTGGTCTGCATACAGCAAGTTCATGTTTTTGGGATACCACAACTGATGGTAAGTGCTGACCCACTGAATTAAAGTAAATTGTTGCATGGAAAAGAACACCTTTCACTTGCTACAATTGCAAAACGCTATAAAGCAGTTGAAAGGTTATTTGACCTATCCACCCCAATGGAACTATCAGGATGTAATCAGTATTATCTGAAATTAGAATAATTTGAGCCAACCATGTAAGTTTCCTCTGAGATTGTTTTGTTTTTAATGAAAGACAGATGTAGGTTTTTGAAATAAAATCATGCACATGAGGAAGAGGTGATTAAGCCTTTCCCCAGTGACTTTGTTTCTGCTGAAAATTACATCTACTTCTAAATGTTGTCAGTTAAAAAACTGCGAAGCTATATCCAAGTACCTATAATACAGCCTTGGTGTAACTGCCAGAAATTTCTGTGAACAGGAGTGGATGTCTATCTTTGAAGCAAACATATCACCTTTCCATTCCAACATTTCTTCTGTTTTGGGGGAATTTCATGCAGTAACTATTTCATTATTTGCTACATATCAGTTATCCTATAATTAAAAGACTGGTTGGGCAGAGCAGAGAAAAAGAAACAGTTTTCTCAGAAAATGAGAATTTTGCACTTGTGTCGTAACCCTATGCCAGTAGTGGCGAACCTATGGCACGCAAGCCACGGCGGGCACGCAGAGCCCTTTCTGTCGGCACACGAGCCAGGTTGCCCCAGCATCACCCCAGCAGCCGAGCATCGGATAACATTGTACACAGGGGCCATGCACATGCTCAGAAAGGAGTAGCGGCAACAGGCAATGACATCACAAGCTGTGACTCATTAGCCGCTACTTGTCTGAGCTTTTGCATGGCCGGTCAGTGTGCTGCCAAGAAGATATTTATATATTTATTTGCTTGCTCGGACTGGCTGTGAGTTGTTTTTTCTAAACTAAAACCTCAGTATTCAGGTTTTATTGCAGTGTTGGCACTGTGTGATAAATAAGTAGGTTTTGGGTTGCAGTTTGGGCACTTGGTCTCTAAAAGGGTCGCCATCACTGCCCTATGCCCATACAAATTTTGGATCAATGCAATAAATCATCTTGTACTATGGTAGCAAGACATTGTGTTGCATTCATTACTGGTATTTAGGTATTCTATTGGGCATTTCATTATCAAACTCAAAGCAATTTACAGATAAAGCTGGGAAATCACCAGTTAGTGTTTTTAAATTGGATTACAGAGAAACCTAAAATTAGAGCAGTTTGGTGTAGTGAACTGTTCCTGATGATGGTAGACCCCAGAACAAAGCAGGTGATGGTGGGGATTGCTTTGTGGGTCACCAAAACACTTTTCTGGAGCAAGCAGTAGTTGGAGAAGGTAACAGAATTGTCTCTGACCTTAAGAAAGCAGCCCTAGGAAGCCCTTTAAATAAGTTACAGGTGGACTGTTTGGATTAGGTCACATGGTCAGTGAAATATGCAGTATCTAAGTTTATGAACAGGATTCAGGCTCTAATGTACTTAGGAGGATACAAGCCTAACAAGGTGCCCTTAGGTTCCTAAATTTGGGTGATCTTTGCCTCCCCATTTTTCCACCCTGCATTTTTGCTAGATAGAATTTTTGTCTAGTTTGGACACCTCAGAAGGGGCAGGAAACAGGCCAGAGCAGCTGCAAGATGCCTCATCTCTTGACTGCTCCAGCTTCCTCCTTGCTCTGATCCCTCAAATGTCCCCTTAAAACCCCTTTCAGAGTTTGCATTCAGGACCCTGGAGAGCATCCAGCATAGGTCTTCCTGCACTGGAAGTGTGGGCGAGGGGGAGCAGAGCTTTGATTTCCAGCTCCACGGTTGGAACTGGGGATCCAAACTATCCTGTAGTCCTTCAGACAGTGTCTAGAACCTATAGGATCATTCCCTAATACTATCTAACCATGTTGTCCATTAATAATGGACTTTTTCCTGAATCCCAGCTTCCTTGTGTGCACCATAACACATGCACTGGAGCCAAGAGCCTGATCCTAACTATATGTATTCAAAGGTATATTCCAGCGAGTTTAAAGGATTCATGGCTAGTTACCAGGTTTATGATTGTTACTCAAATTTGCCCCAAGTCCAACATATCCCTGTTTCTAATGGGTTATATTCTGTAGGATGCTATTGCAAATAAAGTCTGGTCTGTGGATCGCCATCTTAAGAATGAAAAGAAAGTCTGACTACTCTCTCTCCTTAAATCCATTTCAGGTACCTGCACAGTCCGATGGGAGAACCGAACTATGAACTGCGTCGTCAATGTCTTTGCTGTAGCCATTCTTTTGTAGCAAACCAGACAAGCCATGCTAACTTACACCAAAGCCTTTAAGAGCAGAAACTATCAAATCCTCAGAGCACATTGTGAGCATAGTTAGATACTAATACGTGTATGCACTGGAGAAGAAAGCAGGAAGTGTACTTTTAAAAGGTTCCGCACAACCTACATATGCACATATGTATCTATTATAGTAAAGCAAAATATTCAGTTTAGCCATCTGGCAGCTTGCTAAAGACAGCTATTTTAAAAAGATGATGATGTTTTAAGCATTCCAGGACAGTGAGTACCCCTTTTATTCCCTCCTACCAAGTAGTGATATAACAGTCACTTGAAAATGAAAATATGCATGTTTGCACCAAATTACCTTTGGCACTTCATATACAAGGAGTTAAAAGAAATGTATAAGTATGGGGAAGAGAATATTATATATAAAATCTAAGAAACGAACAGTACCTAAGTTAATGTTTTAAAATGGTGGCTTTCAAATTGTGTCCTAGGGAACCTCAGGAAGCTAAGTAGCAGTGGTTCCTCAGTACAGTGCCAGACAAATTTTTACAATCCGGGGTTTTAAGGGACCGTTTTGTGTGCTGGGCCACATTTGGTTCATGCAAGGTAATGGCAACATTCAGCTGGGATACTGGGTTGTGCCTCATGTGAATTGAGCAAACACACTGAGACATGCTGTAGCCTGAAGGGCAGATGCCAAAGGCATACAGAAAAAACAGTAGGAAAGTGAAACCAGTAAGTTTGAAATCCACCACTTTATTACAATTTATAATATATGCTACACAGCTTTCAATATATATCAAGCAGGGTAAAAAAGCAGAAACGAATGGAATGCACTTTAAAACTGTCTTCTGTTTATGAGAAAAATATCTGTAGATGCCAAAGTTCAAAAGGCACAGATTTATTTAATATTGCTTGTGATATATAGTATATTTAATAGTGCTTGCAGTGTATAATGTATCAAGCAGGGTAAAAGAGCAGAAAAAGTTTTAAAGCTTGTTTTTCTAATTTTTGGGCACAACATATCTAGAGGCCAAAGCATCCATTTTCTTTATAGAGGACTTGACTTCTGTGGGTGAATGTAGTTGCCAAGCTGGAAGCTACTGCCAGCAGCGCTTAGTTTTGGACAATTCTTACTGCTATAATTCATAAGAATTCAATTTCACTATATTAGGAAAATCTGCACTCTTTGCTTCAGCTGCTGGAAGCTCAATCGAAATATGATGCACAAACAAATATGTGGTAAAGATGAATGGTCAGCAGAAGATCACAAACCATATGCTAATGTTAGGGTGCCTTGAGAGGCAAATGCGCATGCTGAGTTATATAGGACTGGGATAGAAAAGTTTAGGAAAATCTTTTATGATAATCAAGGCAGGAATCGTTCATAAAGGGCCAGCCTTTGGTCCTTCAGATACTTGAGCAGGGTTGTGCCTTAGTTATTCAAATATATGTATAACAATAAACCCTCGTACCTCTGTTTTGGAAATATACACAGGTGGGGTGGAGAATTGTTTCTACACATAGGAAATGGCCTTATGGCAGGCCAGAGCATTGGTCCATGTAGCTCAATGGCCCACAGTGCTTTCTGTGCTTTCAGGCAAGGTTCTTCCTGCAGTGGTTGTTGATGCTTGGGAGCAAATCTTCTACCTTCTGCACGCAAGGCACATGATCTGCCACTGGACTTGACCTCTCTCCAGTATCTTGTAGAGCACCTACAAAAGAAACATGCATTATTTGCAGAATAACTGTCTACAATAATACGAACACTTGGGAATAAGTCCCCCTGAATTTGGTAGGACTTGATTCCTTACAACATGAATAAGGTTAAATAATCATTTTTTATGCCTGGGCCTTTGTTTACGTGCCACCAGTTAAGTAAGACTACTGTCCTTTGGTTGCACAAGAACAGATTCCATTGGGTGCAGTGGAAATTACTTCTGAGTAAAACATACATAGAATTGGCAGCATATTATAATTTTTCCAAAAGCTACAACTAAAAAAAAAAAAAATCAGTTAAATTGTTAATTCCGTTAACCTGAAATTTAAACATCTTTGCAATTTGCTTGCTAATTCAAGGTCTTACTTTTACAATAGCTCATATAAAAATGGTGTCATTTTGCTGTTATGTTTTTAGAATGTGAAACCATACTGTTGCATTTTGGCCTTTAGTAATCACTGAGGACACAGTCCTATGCTTGTTGAGACCTCAAACAGTCCTTCAGTTCCCAGCATGTCTCGGCAAGACATTCTAGAAGTTAAAGGATCTTTTTATTATCAAACAAGCATATGATTGAGTCCTAAACATAACATGGAACTGCTACATGATGTTTTGCATTGTGTGTTAAGAAATGGTTTTGATCATTGGAATGATTTTGTTTGAATTGCTGTAGCATTATCATTTTAAAGCACCAAAGGTTTAATTTTTGTTGTTGCCTATTTAACCTGATAGCAGCTGAAATTGTTCTTTGTGAAGTTCAGTTACAGCCATGGATTCAGAATTGGCACCTTTTCTAGGCATAGACTATTCATCTTTTTCCTAAAGTAGCAAAAAAGCAGTCCTGAAGATGCAGCTATTCTTATTTATGAGAGGTGGAGACACAGTAGAATAATAATTTCATTGAATGGGGAGGATCAGGATAATGCAGCTTTCAGAAACACCATGACAAGAAAATACTGGCAATGATACAATCTTTTTCAGTACACATTTGCTTCCATAAATGAGATGTTTGTTAATAGCTATTGTATTTCAAGATATGTTATGCTATAAAGATAAGTTATTTCAAGATAAATAACTTTATACAGAGTGAAAATATACTATTACTATAGTAAGATTGTACCAGAGATTATGTGGTATTTATTTGTTTCAAAATAGCTTCGTTTTGGTTTTGAATAAAAAGTAAGGTGTCTGCTTTATCTGTGTTCTATGGTTCTTTTATGAATTGATTGCTGATGTTCTTAAATATGGAGTTTTTATCTCCTAGACTTTTCTTAACAATGTGGAATCACATCTTTGTCATTCTGCTGACCTTGTTTGGACAATGATGATAGGATAAATAAAGCTGCTGTGATTTTTTTTTTTAAGTTGTGGCATGTGTCACAGCATGTTGGCTGCAGTATGTGTGATCCTCCAGCTGACCATAGCTTGTGTTTGAATCCAGACAGCATGGCTTATTTGAAGGAGAAACAAGCCCAGCTGTTTGGTCTTCAGTTCCTTGGGGTCGTTCCCCCCCACCACCACCTCAAACAAGCTGTGCTGCATGGATTTGGATAACATTACTGGACAGCTGATTATGAAAATTGTTCCCAGCATGAACTGGTTGGTGCTGTGGTTTAAATAGCTATGGCTTGTTTAGCCAACTGTGATCATGCAGATCAGCCAGTTGTGTTAAAGCATTGCTCCACAGAAGATATTTCTGCCATCTTTGCCCCTCTTCTGCACAAACCCCAGCCAGTCCTGCGTAGGCTTCACCAGAGTCGGCGAGAGCCTTGTCACATCACTTGTGCAACCAATCTGCTCCCATTTATTTCAGTGGAACTTGTGCAAGAGAATGTCCCAGTGGATTGTACCCTCCCTATTAAGCACATGTCTCACTGATTAGTGCAGATGCTTTTGCACTTGGTGCAAAACAAGAAAACCTTGTTTTCATGCTTCATGCTCTGAAGCTGGTTGTACTTCCATGCTTCCCTGAGATGCTGTGGTTCATTTCTGTCATAGTAGAGCTAGAATGAATGTTGGTTCATCCAGAAGGGGACAGAAATCTTTTTCTCGGGACTTCAGCCTCACTGTAGGCTGCATCACTAAGGTTGTAAACCAAGAATTTTCTTGGCAGTAGTTAAATCCCAAGTTTTATAGTGGCAAGTACTTTGCTGAGCAGCACTCAACCTGGCATGTGAAGAAGTTTGCATGGAATACAAGGGGACCAAACTGCATGAATCCTGTGCATGGAAGAAGATTCCTATTGAGGCAGATTCCTATTACTCATCATGCTTATCCTTAGCACTGCACATTAGCTCAATGCAGAGAATTTTTCATTTGCATTGCAGAAAAGTTTTATACTTTGCCTCCTGGACTGATCCAGATGCACATTGATCCTGAACAGGGAAATGCTAATTCCTCCCAGAAACTTGTCATAGCTCCCATGGTTTAGCAAATTAACAATTTGGAAATTAACCAGGTTTCCCTGAAGTCAATTACAAAGACAGCTATTAACCAGTGGGTTTTATTCAAACAGGAAAGTCTTCATTTAAGTATTCTGGATGTAGAGAAACAATTCATGTAAATTCTGATTCCCAATTGAGTAATGCAGATGTAAATGTTGTCACTTTTTCTCCATTTCTTCTTCTGCATCATTACTGCAATAGTTGCATTCTAGTTTCCAATAAGAGGGAAAGAATGTCCTGGCTCCTTCTAACAAGTGAGCATGACTTTTTCCTATCATCCAGCAGGTGGCATCAACTCTTCAAATTATTCCTGTTCTTACTAAGCCCATCAAAAGCAAAAAGCCTGTGGTAGGCTGTTCAGCTACAACAGCAAAGGGTGCATGTATCTGTTGCATGGTTGAACTATTGTACTTTTAATATTCACATTCTTTGAAACTTTTCTATAAACAGATATGCTGGGTTCTCAAATTACAACAAGCCTTTTTGGCCTGTTGTATCATCCAGACCCCATCATGGTGTTTCTGCATAGTTTCCTCAAACCATGAAGACAATCAACAGTCTTTTCTAAGGTTCCATGCTTCATCTCAGCTGCTCCAGTTGTCCAGGCCCAGGGTCACCATTTTAGTATTGTTGGTATGGTAATCTCATAGAGTCTTGTAAACAAACAAATAAACCATCCAGGACATGGTCACTTGGCTGCTCTTAACTACCTTCAGCTCCTTGGGAACACAAACATCATTAGCTGCTTTACTGCTATTGACTAAGTGATGTGCCCATCTCCCTGTTTACTTTTGGAAACAGGCAGAAAGCAGGTAATGAACAAAGAACGGTCCGCAACTGGGGAGGGCAAGGAGAGAATTGTCAAGATTATTACAGAGGGCTGCTTATAAATCATTAGAAAAGAGCTAATTATTTTCCACATGCTGATTTATATATATAGATATAAATGTGTGCAAGAGCAAATATAGTATACGGTAAATTTATTATAATTTGTGTAGGTATGAGTTTAGAAATATGGTACACCTTGCCACAGTGCTGAAGACTGTAATCCATGTGCCTGCCTGCCTGTTGAGTCTGCTGTTCAGGTGTTATCTTGATTGGCAACAGTTGCTGCTATGGTTCTTTATCTTTAAACACAAATTAAACAGGAAAACATTTCAAATGCAGGACCCAGTGAAACACCTTCATGTGGGAGCTAAGTTATTGCTATCCCTTAATGGGGTAGTGTCAGCGGACTCAGTGAAACAAGATTTCTAGATCAGAAAGGAGCACTTTAAAGAAATGCTCTCCTTATTTTTCATAGGGTCATGTGAAGAAGGAAATAAAACATAAAAAAGAAAACAGCCGAGAGCAAAATGATCAAGAAAGACTAGATCCTGCAGCAAAGCAAGGAAACACCTGCTATGACTTTAGGGAAGTGGTGGTTTTATGCAATTACAGTTTATGCAGTTTGGAAATAATCATACCAAGAGGAGTCCTTTCATCACCTTTTTGGTTTTATTGCTAGTTCCTGCAAGTAGAAAGAGGAAATACAACAGAAACTAGAAGGGCTTTGGCCTGTTCCAGCTGCGTATAGAGCATTCATGCACAGGAAGTGCTGGCTAAGGCCAAAGCTCTGACTAGCTTATCAGTTTGCTTTCTGCAGTAGCCAAAGAGATGCTCCAGAAAGACCTGCAGCAGACCCTGAAGGGAAGGTTGTTGCTGCTCACCAACCGGTATCAGCAGCATTTGATCATGGGAGATTTCCTATTCTAAGGGTGCGATCCTACAAGTCCCAGCATGCCTCAACCAACCATGCTGGCAAGGACATGCTGGGAGTTGTAGGACTTTTCTGTCTAAACATGTTTAAGTCAATTATAGACCTAATACTAATTTACAGATGTCAGCTATGTGAATTTGTCTATAACTCCATTTTAAAGCCATTTAAGGCAGTGGCCATCAATTTATATGGAGCAATATATTTAATCTGTTATTCATTTATTTATACATGTATTTATAGGATGTCCATAACTGCTGAGGCCTAAGTATGCTTTTGTGTGAAGAAATTCTTCATACACAGTTTTCTAAGTACTAAATAATTCTACTAAATAATTGCATACTCTTCCCCTGTTTACCCTTGCCTCTATTTCTATTACCTTCCTCTGTTCTTTCCCCAGTGTCCAGTTTTGAGACTGTGCACCTTTGTGGAATAAGGACTTGTTACACCTGTTCCTTGTAAAGTGCCATGTACACAGATGGTGCTAGACAAACAAATTGATAATACTGTTGAACTTTTCCACTGGATGATTCTATATTGTTTTCCCACCAGATTGCATAGCATAAATAGTTTGGTGACCAGATGTGGGTGGTAAACTCCACAGATACTTTTTTTTTTTAATAACAGCAAAGAGTGAAGTAGTCAGGGTCCAACTATTTATTTATATATTTATTTAAAACATTTATATGCCATCCTTCACTATCATGTCTCAGGACAGCTTGCAAGATTAAAACCAATAGTCATAAAAACAATCAATAAAACAGTACAATAAAATTACTATAAACCAATACAGATAAATCAAATCAAAAGTGACTGTGAACCACTAAAAATGCTAATTTTTAAAATAACAATTAAATAAAAAGGTTTTGGCCTGGAGCCAAAAAGAGTATAAACTTTATGCCAGGCATACCTCTCTGGGGAGTACATTCCAGAGTCTGGGCGCCACAGCAGAGAAGGCCCTACTCCAAGTAGATGTCCTTTTAACCTCTCTTAGAGAGGGTTCCCAGAGTAGGGCTTCTCCCATAGATCTTAAGGGGCATGAGGGCATATAAGGAAGGAGACGTTCCTTCAGGTATCCTGGTCTGAAGCCGTTTAGGGCTTTATAGGTCAAAATCAGCACCTTGAATTGGGCCCGGACTTCAACTGGAAGCCAGTGGAGCTGGTAGAGGACCGGCGTTATGTGAGAGTAACGGCCGATCCCCGTCAGCGGCATGGCAGCTCTGTTCTGTACCAGTTGCAGTATCCAGACCGTTTTCAAGGGCAACCCCACATAGAGCACGTTGCAGCAATCCAAGCGGGAAGTTACCAGAGCATGTATCACTGTTGCTAGGGAGTGCTCAGTATTAATTAATTAATGCATGCTCAGTACCTTAGATGTGCCCGATAGAAATGTTGACCTTTCCCCCTTTCAGTAGCAGACAAGGACAGCTGCTTTGGTTTCCAAAACAGTTTCGCATGTAGCATCTGGGAAGGACTTTCCTGCAACAAACCCAAGACCAGAGCAGCTGTGAGCACTGGAAATTTGTTGCATTTATACCTCCCTCAATTATAGTGTCTGTCTCCACACAACAAGATGCTTCTGCATGTCTCAAAAATGATACATGAGAAAGACAAGAACCAAAATTATACTGACCTTCTACAAAGATACTCCATTTTAATCATCACAGCTACTGTTCATGAACAGACCAACCCTGGCTTTGTTAGCTTCTAAACAGGCAAAAGTGCTAAATTGCTCAGCCCTTGCCCCCTGCAGTTTGCTAGGAGGTGAATGGGCAATCCTCCCCTTTTGTGGAATGCCTTTGCCTTCCTGCATGAGACTCATTTGGCATGGCTTCTGAAGCTTGGCAGCACCACAATATTGCATTTATTAGTCTGAGAAGTTTCAGGTGATATTATTTATTCTTCAGATATCTTATTGGAAACTGCCAAATTTATCCCAGGGCAGTTTCCAATACAAATTAAAATAAGCAAGCAAAACCCATAACTGGAATGATAC